CTTTGACTGTTCATGGTTCTGTATAGAACTATTGTCTTTATTAAGGAACACTTAAACAGCCATCTTTTTTCTTGCATAAATGGTTCTTTACATGATCAAATGGTTCTTCAGATTGATGGAGAATGTGTTATATGTAGTTCTATATAAATCCTTTTTGAAAGTGGTTCTATATAGCACCAAAAAGGGTTCTTCTATTGCTACAAACCTGACATCATAACAATAAAAGAACCCAGTTTCAAAAAGGTTCTATATAGAACCATATATAAAACATTCAATCTGAAGATAATTTCATCATGCAAAGATCCTTTAAGCATGAACACTTGAAGAACCATCTTTTTTAAGTGTGCATTGTTCAAAAGTTTGAAATCACTTGTTATATTAATAATTGCTGCTGTTTTATTCAATAATAACCTGTACAGTGTAGACTGGAATACTATAAGCTAGATACCAGTAGATATTTTAAAATATGCAACTGGAAACAACTGCAATAACTTATCAAATGATAAACAATGTTTTTTATATGTTTATTATATCAATAATATATATCCAGTCATTTATCAATAATAAAAAATGATCGATTTACAATGATTTCGTAATGAGTTATGAGCCTGAGTTTTGATCACCACTATTCAAATACGAGGCTTTCTGGATGTTCATTTATTATAACTTTTTATTATAACAAAACCTGTGAAGCTCTAAAGGAGCATCAAATAGAATCATATTCAACATGTACAGTGCTGTGCACAAGTCAGAGACCACCCTGCATCTATTATCTGTTCATTTGTCAGCGTCAGAAATAGGCCGAAAACATACGTATAACAGAAAATTACACAGAAGCCTGAACTAAATATGAAACAAATGAATTCAATATTTATTGTGTTCACTTTTTATCTTCATTACAGCTTCTATTCTTTTCAGAAGACTCACTTTCAGATTCTGAAAGAAACCTGCAGGGATATTTTTCCATCTCCAGAGTTCAGTCTTAGAAGTTTTTCTGCTTCTCACGATCCGAGTCATCCCAAAAACATTCAGTGATGTTGACGTCTGGACCCTGTGGTGGTCAGTCCATGGGCAGCTTCTTTCATTTGCAGTTTTACTATGTTGTTTCTATGTTCTTTGTCTATGTTCTTTTCTCAGTAAGGGCTTCTTGACAGCTACACATCCTTTCAGACCCAGTGTTGTCTTCTCACAGTGGAAGGATGGACAGAAACACCTGTGGATTATTTCAGATCTGAAGCAGCTTGATTTTCTCCTCTCTCTCAAAGATGAAAGTGCTTTTTACCTGATGGGTTTCTGGCGGTCTGCCAGGCCTTATTAGGAGACATATTTTGTCTTTTCATAATTTTTTTAAACCCCAGTTTTGGAAACTCCTGTTTTCTTCCACTTATTCTTCTTTGACTTTCTTCTTCCTTATGCAAGTGAATCTCACATCTAACCTCCTCCTGAAAATTAAAGAACTTGTACTGGCCATTTTGCAGAAAATGAAGGGTTTCTTACTTTTGCACTGTACTTTATGTAAAAAAAATGTTTTTATCTCATTGAAAATTCAGAACTTTTGAATGGCAGTTAAGTGTCACAATTGCTGTACGCAAAAGTTTAGCAATTTCATTATGCATGTCGCACAACAGGACAGAACAAACAAAATATCATGAGGATCACTACACTCTCAGAAAAAAAGTATGACACTGTCACTGGGGTGGGACCCTCAAGGGTACATCTCAGTACCTTTAGTCAGGGAACATAACTCTACTATAATCCATTGAAATGATATTTTCTAAGTTGTATTGACTCCACACTCCCCGTCTCGTCTCCAGGCCATTTTATTGTTCTGTTTTAAGATTATGAAAAGGTACAAATCTGTACTTTTCACCTGGTAAAAACTTATTTAAGGTACAAAATTGGACCTTAAAAACACTGTTGTACCTTTGAGTGAACATCTACATTATTTATACCTTGATGAACGAAAATGTACCTGCACAGAACCTTTATTTCGAACAGTTTATTCCAAGAAAATGTATAACCTACTTTATTGAAATACTGCAGGTTAACCATAAAACAAATACAACTGTCATCACTTCAGCAAAATTCCTTACAGATTTGGTTGAAATGTTTCACAAAAATTTTAAATTGGTAATATTTATTTGGCATAAAAACTGCCATTAGTAAATTTCATTCCCATATCATCAAACAATAATTTCAAATGAATTACCTTGTTCAACAATAAAGACAGAGCAGTTTGTGTTTTGAGTGTAGTTGGATATTCTTACCACTAGATGGACGCGTGTGACTCTTACATGAGAATGTAAGTAATATCAAAGAAATGTATATCCATGTACATATATATTTATTCTAAAGTTTATAGGAGCTGTGCTGAAACTTTTACTAACAAACTGTTTTCGCACACATCCGACATTCACTCTCAGCCCATTATGAGGGTAAAAATAAACTTTTGAGAGGTGCAAAACCCCAACAAGCCAGATATCAATTGTGGAGCTTACTTTTGTTTGTTTTCATTGTGTGTGCACTTTCATGGGAGCAATTTCCTGTGATGACATTGAACTGTACTCCTCCTGGAATTCATTAGAATGCAAGAGCAGGGGGGGCCCATGCCTCTGTCTGTCCACAGGGGGAATAATCTAAACGAAGACCCAGGGGCATGACACACCGCAACAGCCCATAATAACGCTCGGGGCTAGCAGAAGGTGCTTGTTAAAAGGATACAAATAAACACAATCAAACGCGAACGGGTGGGGCTACGGGAATTGACTGGCATGCACTAGCAAGATGATTCTATTAGGAACTGAAACAGTACATTGTTACCCATTTCACTTCCACAAGCACTTAACTCATTAACAAATACATAAATTCTACAATTTGCAAAACAAAGTGCTTTAATTGTAATAAAATACATTTACTGCAAATATATATTGCCATCAGATGATATTTAAGTTTAAATTAATGTAGTTAATGAACCCACCCATGTTTCGTGGGGAGTGGAACTAAAAGCTAATAATGTCTTACAAACCCAACAAAGCTTTGATTTTGTTCTGCTTCTTTTAAAAGGGAGTCTTACAGTATTAGAAACTTTAACGGGTCAGAAACCACATTTCCAGAAAGGAAGCTTACTATTTATTTGGTTCTTATGTATTTTGAATTATCAATCTAAAGCACCCTGCATGCAGAGTTTATTATCTATCAAAACCTCTAAAAATAAAAATCAATATTATTGTGTGACACCAGTTCTGGTATAAATGACAGAAGCATAGATATAGAGTATCCTAAACTCATACTCAAGTAAAAGTACTGTTGCTTAAGTGAAATAAGGACTTGAGTAGAAGCAAAAGTTCCTTTCCAAAAAACAACTGGAGTAGAAGTACAAAAGTATCAGGTCAAAAAAACCTTTGAAACTTATAGAACTGCTGTTTATGTAGTATATTAAATACTTAAATAGTGAGTGAGTTGTAGAACTGCCATTCTATACAGCATCTTTAAGTACTTACCAACTGAGTAACTTACAAAGTGCTATTCTATGCAGCAACTAAAGTACTTAAGTACTAAGTAACAGAACTGTTTTTCTTTGCAGCAACTAAAGTACTTCAGTATGGAGTAACAAAGAACTGCTATTCTATGCAGTAACTAAAGTACTTACTGAGTAACTTACAGAACTGCTATTCTATGCAGCGTAAGTACTTAAGTACTGAATAACATAGAACTGATATTCTATGCAGCAATTAAAGTACTTAAGTACTGAGTAATAGAACTGCTAATTTATGCAGTAACTAAAGTACTTATGTACTGAGTAATGTGTAGAACTCCTATTCTATGCAACAACTAATTAAGTACTGAGTAACTTCTAAAACTGTCATTCTATGCAGTAACTGAAGTACTTAAGTACTGAATAATTTACAGAACTGCTATTCTATGCAGCAACTGGAGTACTTAAGTACTGAGTAACTTACAGAAGTGCTACTCTATGCAGTAAAGTACTTAAGTACTGAGTAACCAAACTGCTATTCTATACAGCAAGTAGAGTACTGAAGTACTGAGTAACTTAGAACTGCTTCTCTGAAGCAACTCAAGTACTTAAGTACTAACAACTGCTATTCTATGCGGCACCTAAAGTACTTAAAATACTAACTTATAGAACTGCTGCTCTATGCAGCAACTAAAGTACTTAACTGTGAAGTAACAGAACTGCTACTCTATGCAGCAACTAACGTACTTAAGTAATGAATAACTTCTAGAACTGCTATTCTATGCAGCACCTAAAGTTCTTAATTACTGAATAACTTAAAGAACTGCTATTCTATGCAGCAACTTAAGTATTTGAGTACTGAGTAACTTGTAGAACTGCTATTGTATGCAACAACTAAAGTACTTAAGGACTGAGTAACTTCTTGAACTGCTATTCTATGCAGCAACCAAAGTACTTAAGTACTGAGTAACCTATAGAACTGCTACTCTATGTTGTACCATAAGAACGTAAGCACTAAGCAACTTACAGCAAAGTTTTATGCAGCATCTTAAGTACTTAAGTACTGAGTAAGTTTTAGAATGGCTGTTCTATACAGTACCATAGGTACTTAAGTAATGAGCACCTTGTATAACTGCTCTTCTATATGACATCTACCAGCTCAGGAAGTCTGTTTGGTGCTGTTCTTCTCCTTTTCTTTTTTCTCTTGATCCACAGTGAAATGATAAAGCTCCTAAGTCATACATGTAAAACTGCTAAGCAATCCAGATGCTGCCACCAATGTAATGAAATTCAACAGAAAAAAAGGGTTAGTAACTAAATTTTAGCAAATAAAATTAAGTAGGCTCCCTTCCTCACAAACATACTTATAAAAGTAATATCTGAAAATTCTAAAAGTTACTTAAGTACAAGCACCTGGGTAAATTTAGAGTTCTTATCTACCTCTGCAGGTGATATATTACCAACCAACACTAAAAAAAGCTTTAAGAAATGTGTATATTGTCATGGAATAACTCAACAAGTGTCATGCAATAAAAGAAATTCAAATTTTATTTTATTTTCAGTTAGCGTAGAAAGTATTAATGTGCATCTTGAAAGTTAGACATGTAAATGTTCAATTGATCCATTGAAAACAAAACAGAACAAAACAGGAGATAAATAAATAACAGGTGTCTTTACTTCCCCCCGCCCCAAACGCTTTGGGTGTAAGCAAAAAGTAAAGGCCGGGGGACGTTCAGCAGGGCTTCACGCTGTGAAACGTTCAGCTGTAGGTTACATTTATAGAGCAGGCTTTGTTGTCTAACAGAGGAGTATCTATACGTCCACTTGTATGAATGGTATCTCTGCACTCAGCGTTCCACAACATTACACTGGTGAGCGTGACCCGGCTACGGATGTGACACTGAGGAGAGTCAACAGCAGATCCACAGCACATTCTCTGTCAAGTTTTGCAGAGGCTTCGTTTGTAAACACATCACCATGAATCTCGCTGGAGAGGCACTGGAACTAGGAAAAAAAAACAAACAAACAAAAAAAACCTACAGTCTGTCCGACCTCTTTAACGAGCACCGCGTACACCACGGCCGTTCACCACACACCCTGTGTGACTATTCCTCACCCCGACCCTCCGCCTCAGAGTTTAATATCAAGATAAATACGTTTATAGGAGGCAACAGGAGTCAACTCTGTTACTGTGTTAACAATATGAGGGAAAAAAATAAAAGTTACAAACTGATTAAAGCTAAATATAACAATAAAAGGTAAACACTTAAAATGCTCTCAACTACTCTGTTAAAAACAAATACCATTTGTACACGGATACTATCACAGCAAATCAATTATTTTACTATATGAGGAGGGTGGTACACTATATAGCTGTTACAACTGTAAAGTACAAGCTCAGATGCTTGTGTCATTTTATATCCAAGTCTGTGACGGATCACAAGCCACTTCACGAAGCACTTTTAACAAGCAGTAGGAGGAGTTGAGTTTGTAACGGGTCAAAGAGTCACTGAAATGGAAAATTCTACAGAAGCTCTTGAAGAAACATACCGTGACAAAGTAATTGCTAACCAAGATGTAAAATTCATCTCAAAACTGATTTGTAAAATGTACCTCCTACAGAGCATAACTTCTCTTTCAAGACTTATATTGCTTGTAAACAAGCTTTAACACTCCCCTCCCCCCAAGAAAAAAAACACCAACAACTCGATACCAAACTGATAAAGATGAAAACACATTTCGTCTTATGATGTGCTGAACACTGCTCATATTTGGTTTAGGTGAGAAAAGGCACTTGATGTGCTTTCTTCTGTTAAGGTCCACGCTGGCAAGGCTTTCAGGGTGAAGAAAAAAATTCATTATGTCTAAAATTCATTTGAAAGAACCCAATCACATACCAACTACGACACAGCAGATGTGCATTATGATTGTTTGCTTTAAAATTGTCGAGCTGTTCATGATATACTACATTTTATTTGTGTTCCTTCATCAGTTCTGGTCCATAATCACATCCGACATTACTACTTCTAGTTGTTAACAGAAAGGACCTGTAAACGCTGCTACTGTTCAAACCTAAAAACTGTAATGGATGGCTTGTTTTAGCCAAAGTGATAACAGGGATTTGGGAATTGAGGGGGTTAATAAAAAGATAGCCACTATAGTCTATACTGAACGCACAATAAGAGAAAAACACACAGGCGCAATAAAAAAAGCCAGGCGGCTGAACTTACAAAACTCTTTGGAAATATCATCTAAAGTACTAGCTCTTTTTCTTTAAGTATGTGTAAGAAACATAATATTTCTCTAAGTATGCCAGATAAACACATTTGAAGGCACAGGGTTAGTTATGAAGCCCATGCAACCTGCAACAAATACCACAATGACTTCATTCTCTTTTAATAGAACCAGAAACCTCTAGCTATTCAAATGGGGAAGCTTTTTAGGGGAATTTCAGTTGACTTTTATAGAGACCAAGGGAGCTTTTTATAAAACTTGTTGTGAGATGGTTTTGGAAGGAGTGTCATGGGACCATGCAAAGCATCTCTCACCGACAATTTCTTTTCAAATAAGAAATAAAAAAGCCTCCTCTGTGAGGTAAATTTACATTCAATGATCAGGGTGTTGCATCAGCTGTACCAATATCCAAAAGTGCATAACAGCAAGATGCTTTAAGGCTGTGGTTTTCTTCTGTGTTTAGGCACGCTATTTTAAAAGAAGGCTGTTCAAACCATTTCTTCTATGCACTTCTATGCATACGTTTCTGTTATTCAATATGTAGTAATTGTACCTGTGTGCACGTGTACTTTAACATACACATACTGTGACTCATCTTCAGCATTACTTTATAACTATATGGAAGTGGAACTGTCAGGGACAGCTTCTGTGTATTTATTGACAACTTTGGTTTCATAGCTCCTGAAAACCAAGAAGCTTTTTAAGGCAATCTCACCCTTACTTGATGGTAACATTACTATGTGATGGAACAAAGGAGCAGTTTACATGACTTTTGCAAAACAGCTGGCAAAACGTCATCCGGAAAGTGGGCCGTACAGTGGAGAAGCAGACGAAGAGGCTGGGTGATGGACTCAGTTCGCGAGCGTCAGAGCGTGCATGTGTTTGGCGATGTCGTACACGTAGGTGATGTCGGGCCGCTTCTCTGGGTCCGGGTTGATGCACATATCTACCAGCTTTCTTAGCTGTGGGGAGGGGACAAAGAGAAACAAAAGGGCAAGAGGAGAATCACAACACATTCAACATTTCACTCACTGTCTGAAATCAGTGTGAAAATGAGGATGAATAGCAAAGTGACATGCTGTGTATTTGTGGGCACATTTCCTCCCAGAGCTAGTGAAAGGGCTTGAGGCAGAGCTACTTCCAGCTAGGAGTCTTAAAGCCTTCTGCATGCTCGTTTACCCGCCACACGCACAATCCCCAAAATTTACACTCATATGCCACGGAAAGAAAGAGAGATGCGACCTCAGCCCTAACGACCGGCATCATTAAAAGCAAAATGGAAAGAGAAAAAAAGCAAAGAAAAAGGAAGGAAGAAGTATCCCCCCCCAATGCCTGATCACCATGGCAACCAGCTCTTTCTAGCCGAGGCCTGGCTGGTGCTGCGTGGCGCGCCGTCTCCTAATCAGCGCGGCATGTGAAATGCAAATCTAGCCAGTTGCAGAATTAGTGGAAAAGAAATGGCGGCGGGAGGTAGAGGGGGTGGGCGAGGGGCAAATCAGGATGCAGATATGTAAAATATTCATATGCTTGGTGAAAAAAAAAAAGATGGGGGGGGTGCAGAATTTTTGATGGGGAAAGGGGTTGTCTGTCAGGTGAGAAGCAAGGAGACGGTAAATGACACACCAAAGATGAGCGGCTGACAGTTTTTTGCCATTCGCCTTCAGGAGCATTGTTTACACGCAGACAGGGGAGGATGCAGGCCCTCTGTCTCCGCTGGAGGGAAAGGGGGTGAGGGTGGGGGGCGGCTGGCAGGGTGGGGGGAATAGAGGCTCGGCAGCGCTAAGGCGATAGAGAGCAAATCTCATGAATGGGGGGAATAACGACTCCAGCTGTAGGTGAGGCTGGCTATGGCGGGGAGCCTTTAAATTAGGTACTGATGATGGCAGCTAAGGATATAGGAACATGAAGTGAAAATCAGTTACAGCCCATCAGCCAGGCTTAGAAACCTCCAGTAAAAAGAAAAGCCAGGCTTCTTGCCTCTGTGTTTTGCAGGAGACAGCATAGTGTTAAAGTATGTCCATATATGGGTCTGTGTTCATGCTGTTGCATGTGTCTAGGTAAACTAATGCCTATGAATGTGTGCATGAGAATATAAAAGTGTAAAATAATACAAGCACTTCAGGGCTGCACCGTTCATGAAAATTCATTTTATGATTATATTGCTACTAGTGCTGTCAAACGATTAAAATTACATTACTTTGTGTAGTTCATAGTGTAAGTAATTGCAATTTTCTTTCAATTTTACCCATGTTTACACGTTTTTCTAATAAACACTTTTCAATTCAATTTTCAATTAAAAGACTTAATTTTGTTATAGCTATATAAGTGGAGCAAAAGAAGTTTCTTCAGAATGTATTTTTAATTATTTCATATTATTATTTTCATTGTGTGATTGCTGGGTTCACAAGATTTCCATAGTGAACACAGTTTTCAATTTTCCAAGTCAAACTAGACAAATGTCTTAGGATCTAACGTGCATTCAACCACAATGAACGGAAAAGTAACAGCAAAAAAGGAACGGACTACAGCCACAATAAGCTTAGGGCATTAGGCTGACTTTTTACATGACAATAACAGAGGTTACAATTTGAAAACATTTTTTGATATTCAAAAATAGCAATGAGAAACGTCGGATGAATAACGGAAGCCACCTCACTGGCAGAGCTAATGAGCTAACCCTAAATGATACAAAGATGGATGCTAATAAGGACTCGTCGTCTACACAAGGTCTTTTCTCCCGATTTGCTCATGTTACTTTGCCAGAGAAATATATTTTAGCTTTTTCCAGACCTAACAACAGCAAAAGCAGTCAGCCTAGCTAGCGAAAAGCTGCACCAGGGCCAGCCGCACTATTTATGCCTCCTCAACACGTCCCTGACAATGCACTCACATTAAGGCATTCTTTACAAGTCTGGTTACAAATGCAAAACCAGCATTTTCTCTGTCTTACCATGAAAAAAGTAATGCCTGAATCAAGTTTTCAGTGTTTGAATACTGGCACCTCAAATGGTTAACTGAGTACTTGAGTACCCATGTACGTTCCTAGTTAACAGTGTAAAAAGAAGAGTTAGTGCTATTAATAAATGTGTTCATTTGGACAGAACTGTTAGATGTGATTATTATACAACTCAAAAGCAAGTAAAACCACATTAATGACCTCCTGATGTGATCCTAATGACTAGCCTGTGTTATTTCTAACCAAAATGACTTGTTGGATCATATAAATGCCAAGAGTGACAGCACACAATAAAAAACTTTATCTGTTAAAGAGTTTGTGTGCATGTTGAGTCTTCTGCAATATTAGCATCACTATAATTACCAAATGATACACTGTGCAGCCCTACAAAGCACTTAGTAGACCAATATGAGACACTGGTCATTTCAGACAGTCTAGCACTTTGAAACCACAAGGTAAGAGGTCATCTAATAAATGTGCATTCTCATACATCTGTGCAGACCTTTATGCATACTTTGCCCCAGCACGTGTTTGAAAATCGTTGAGCCCTCTGCCCAGAGTGCGCCCCAAGTGCCTTACCTCTTCCGAGTAGTGATCAGACGGGAGGGGAGGGTAGTCACACTGCTCGATCTTTTTACACAGAGAGTACAGGTTCATCTTGTCCCCATAAAACGGACTCTGGAGAGCAGCCATCTAGTAGCAAAGGAAAAAAATGAAAGGGTATTAGATTTTTTGAAATGGCTCAACCCCCGAGCATGTACAGAATGACTGCATAGACTCTATAACTCATCAGCATTATCCTTTCTTGCTTTGCCCTTGCTACAGAATACACTTGCTTGTTTTGAGTTTCTACTCTTCCAACAGTTTGACTACACTATATAGAGCTGCTGACTTCGCTAGTCTCCTCAGTAAACTTGGCCACTGCTTCATTTACTGAATCCAATAAGTCTGAAGGTCTGAAGGCAAATGACATTTCAGTGTATTTCTAAAGTCACTGTACTGGTGCCATTTTCAGTACATCAAAAAAAAAATAAGGGAGCCATGTCACCCATAAATTTTTTTTCTTCAAACTTCTACCAAATTGTGGCACAATTATCTTCCTGTGTAAACCTTCTTTCAGAACTCAGAAACAAGTTTACAGAAGTTGTGGTGTACCTTTAACTGAACACAAAAGTGCTACTATGCCAAAAAGTTATTTATCCAAAGAAGAATACTAGGTCTTGCATTTATTCATTCACGTATATATGCGTCTTGCCTCGTTTTTTTTTTCTCATTTTAATTTGAAAACACACACACACAAACAGGGGACCAAGAATGGCTGACATTTTCCTGAAGAAATGGTCCTAATATTACACATTGAGAAGATGAAGAGAAAGGGGACTGAATGAGGAGCTTGACCACAAGAAATGCAAATCTGTTAAATCAGCAATGGCTTATTCTTTGTCCTCGGCTGACAAACAGAGCCTTCTACAGAAACTGTTTAAAAAAATGTCCAAAAATCTGAGACCACACTGAATATCTGGGATTGTCATTTAAACCTGGAAATAAAGATTATGAAAAAGAAAAGTTATGCCAAGTAAAATGAGAAGACGTATTCGAGATTCAACACTATTTCTAGGTCACAGTTCAAAATTAAGCAAATGTGAAACTGACCATGTTAGGCCTTATAGCCTTATCCCTTCCGTTGAAGCACACGTTCAGGTGACTCTCAGATGGATCTGATCTCCTCATCAGAGGCTTCTGCCTCCATACCAGAGTCCATGCCAGCCTGAGTGCTCAATGTCAAAAACATACCAAATACTAAGAAAGTCTGAAATTCATGATAAAATTTCAAAGATTCTACTTTTCACTCAAACTGTTATGCTCATAAAGTATTAAATTAGAACAGTACACAAAATAGAAGCATTTTCGCTGGTGCTCTGAGACCTCTGGATCCCACTGTTCAATGCATGTCCTTGTATTAAAAAAAGTCAAGGAGAAAGAGTGGGCTTACCAAAAAGGAGGTTAATTTGATTGTTCATTTGGCAGGAATATTTTTTGAACTGAAAGCAGTGCTGTAGTTTGTTTCAGCCTAAAACCTTAAACTAAACGAACAGACATTCCTTTCCTGCTATGCAATAGTAGTGCATAGCAGAAGCCCTGCACACAGCTCGGGCAGACATATTTATGTGTGAAAAGGCATCTTTTTTTAATTGTTGTTAGACAGGATATTCATTTTAGGCATCTGTTACTTATCTATGTGTCAGCTGACAAAAATTGAGAAAGTAAGAAAAACTGCTAATAAAAAGCCCAAACTTTCCTGAACTAAGAAATGGCCAGTTTTAAATTTTGGGGAGCTTTATAAACATGAGAGGTGACACAGAACTAGCAAATGTTATGGGGAAGATGCAAATATTACAGTCACCTTTCTGAAAACACAAACATTACAGGCATCAGCTGTGGAATTAATACTATAGTGCTTTGGTTGTAAACACAATACAGTATCCAGGGTCTTGCCACAAACTGCTGGTCTCTCCAGTCATATTTTGTTCTGCTATTTTCAAGTGATTCAGGCTAACTGACAAGTGATCTTAATGAGTCTGCAAGTGCAACGAAGCTATGAGAATGCGGTTTAACAAATCTGCCATACACAACTCAACTGAATGACTGCTACGGGGATGTAACAGGAAACAAATAGCCATTATGGCTGGAGTCACTTCCTTTCCAGATGTTTCTCTCTCTCTCTTACCATCGTTGTCATTTATCAGATTTTAATCAGACAGCTGCCGTTCCCTAGCAACCCCATAAATTTCAGATGAAGTGTGTGGAAAGCTTACACTTGCGAACCGGTGAAAATATGCACAGAGAAACCTTAGAGAGAATGAGCGAGGAAACTCTACAAAAACATGGCCAGATGTAAAATGTGGGGAAAACTGAGCATATTGTTAACATACACTACACTTGATTACACTGTCTTCACTATATGAAGATGGCACATTACTTCTTTTCTGATGCTGAAATCCTAAGATCAGCCGATACATAATTGTACTGGTTTAAAATGTTAAATTGTTTTTAAATGAGCCAATTTTCCAACTGTGATGCAATACTCTGAAAAATATTGACATTGGATATCGTTCTTGACCCCACAGGATTTGGAAAATAATATTTGTCTTGACAATTGTTTTAAAACAATGGCTGTGACGACAGCCAACAACAGGTCACATGAGCAACAAGGCCTAAAAGTGACCAGATCAAAAGGTCAGCTTAGACTTGATCAGAAACAGCTGGAAACCCAACAACAGTGCCATATGCACCTGAACAATGGAGCAAGTGGAGCACCTGTACACTTTTATTATTTTATTTTTTTTGCTCTATCTGTCTGTCTGTCCCCCTTCCTTTCTGCTGGTGTTGGCCTCATACTAATACTTGTTATCAGACTGGTGCCACCTGTAGTTAAGATTCTTCCAATGAAAGACATAGCAGTCATCAGAGTTTCAGTGACTGAACAGACAGCAAGTCCTGAATACTAAAAAACACTGGTGCTATTCTAAAATGAAGTCTGCACCAAGTAAAAAACTTTAGATATCTAACATTTCATGTGGATGTTATACAATACAGTGTGAGTCTGAGGCTAGTACCACAAAACTGAAACATCTAATATAAAGCCACACGGGTGGGGCCTGCAGAGCTTAGAATGAGCCTCAAGAACCTGGCAAGCTTTGTGGCTTGGCTGCAGTCTCATCCTAAATCATAGAAGTTTCTCAAGCACACACACACACACACACACACACACACACACACACACACACACAAACACACACACACACAGGCACAATCTCTCTCTCTCTCTCTCTCATGAAACACTCCAAGTAGAGCCACTCAATCTTCATCGAGCAGTAGCTGACAGACTGGCTGGAGTTGCAGGACAATAAATAACAGACATCACCGAATGACTGCCTTCTGTTTGAGTGAGACTCCAGGCAGCTGAGACGCAGCCTATCGGACCTATGATGTAAAGATTTTATAACGCTAAAGTCTCAAACAAGTTGCCTAGCACAGGAATACAATTCACAGAGCCTGTTCAGAACATCTTTAAGGACACAGATAAGATAGCCCTTGTGAAGCTCTCCTGGGCTGCACAATATAGACACAATTAGGGGTTTACAGTTAATAGAGTATACAGTGCATAGTTAATAGAGGGGTAGTGATACATTCAGTCCACGATTCAATTTGCTTCTGATACTGTGTTCGCAATTTGGTATTCCCTCAATATTTCGAACAAATCTGAATGGAGAAAAATCATGACTATCCAACTTACCAATGAACATGCTGGTGTGGGCTGTTGACTGGTGCTGCTTGCTTGTGAACGCTGGGGCTTAAACAATGCAATAGTATTCAACACCATCTTCGAATATCATACAACAGTTATAGGCTGCTACTGTTTGTGGCACAAAGAACTGACAACATTAAAGTACATTTGATACCATGTTCGGGGCTTCATTGCTTTACTTTTTTTCTTTATTTTGCAGAACTGCAGTAGAAAAGCAATCGAACACTAAAGGTCACGTGTGATCGCGAATAAGACCACGTTTTGCCACAATAACTGTACCATTCCGCTGTGCACCAGCTGCTAAATACCGACTCACTTTACACTGCAGCTAATCTTTACTGCATGTCGACTTTACTACATATAAAAACAGAAAACGGATACATCATACTTACATAAGATACTGTCTGCAGCCCATTTGATCAGATTCTGAAGAATAGTGTGACAGCAGAGCTACACCAAACTCCGAACTTGTTGTGGTCTCTAAGCAAGCTTGGCAGCTGTGATGGCAGAACAATTAATCAAACTAGAACTAGCTAGAAATAAACTGAATACAGCTCAGCAAACAAGATGGGCTGTGAAAGGCTTTGCAGACCAGAACAAAATGACATTTAGGTTAATCTGGGATGCACTGAAAACGCTGAGCAGAACCTGATAAGTTTTATGGCTCTATCCGCAAAAGTTTGCTACTTTTTGTGGTGGCAGGAATGGTCAATATTAAAGCACATTTGATACAATGTTTAGGGCTTTTTTGCTATACTTTTGTATGTTGTATAAAAGCAAGAGAACACTCAAGGTTGTGTGCTATGGTGAACATCACGGCTATGATTCAGTCGCAGGCATGAGGCTCTAAAGGACTTTCCACATCAATAAAATAATTAGAGCATGTGTGTACCTGATAATATCTTGCACTCAAACACAATTTTTTTGTTGTGACATTATTTTATTCACCCTCTGCTCGATTTTTGTGAACTATCGCTGAATCATGAACTCACTGGCCAGTCATAATCTCCAAAAGCATCTCCGATGCACTGTTACACCACTACTGCCTAACACTTATGTATGCCTAATTTGCTTAGGGCAGTTTTCTATCATTACAGTACTGTAAAAACTAATACAGCAACTAAGATTAACAAGCATAGTGTGCAGTAATGCCCTCACTTACAACAGTCTTTTTTCAATCTTGCTCCTGGCAACCCAGAGTACTGCACTGTGTAAATTATTCCCTGCCCCAACACACCTTATTCAGCTCATGCAGGGCTTGATAATCAGGTGATGAGCTGGATTAGGCATGCTGAATTAAGGAACACTTCAAACCGTGCGCTGCTGTGGGCCGCCAAGAACAGGATTAAGAAACACTCGCAAGTAGCAAAGAGTCCTATCGTCC